CTCTCTCTCTCTCTCTCTCTCTCTCTCTCTCTCGCTTTCTATCTCTCTCTCTCTCTCTCTCTCTCTCCTCTCTCTATCTTTGTCTCTCTCTCTTGCTCTCTCCCACGGTCTATCTCGTTCTCTCTCTCTTTCTCTCTCTCTCTCTCTCTCACCCCCTCTCTATAACTCTCTCTTACTATATTATGATTAACTCTGGTTGCTGCCTATAGGTGGCGCCAGCAGGCTGATGGATCCCTTGCAGCCGTTTGACGTCGTCATAACGCGAAGTGAGAACCAAGGTTTCGGCTTCGTCATCATCTCCTCTGTCAACCGATCCGGCTCAACTATAGGTATGTTATCAATCAACTATCAATCAATCAATCTATCAATCAATATACTATAGGTATGTGATCAATCAACTATCCATCTATCTATCTATCAATCAATATACTATAGGTATGTGATCAATCAACTATCCATCTATCTATCTATCAATCAATCTACTATAGGTATATAAACAATCAACTATATATAGGTATATAGACATATTGGTATGGCCCTATCAACTATTGGTATATGTGTAGATAGCCTAGCACGTAGCTTAACACGTTCTTGTGTTTCACGCAGGGTGGATCGTAGAGGGCTTAACACGTTCTTGTGTTTCACGCAGGGTGGATCGTAGAGGGCTTAACACGTTCTTGTGTTTCATGCAGGGTGGATTATGAAGAGCTTAACATGTTCTTGTGTGTTTCTCAGTATATATCACAGTAGGCTTAGCACGTTCTTGTGTTTCTCGCAGGGCAGATTATAGAGGGCTTAACACGTTCTTGTGTTGCTCTCAGTTTGCATCACTGCAGGCTTTACGCGTTCTTGTGTTTCACGTGTGGCGAGAGTCATATAGAGGGATCAACACATCCATGTGTCGACGTGGTCTTCTGTTTCACCCAGAGTAGATCGCGCCACCTGTTCTTATGTCTCACGCGTTCTTGTGTTTTTCTCGCAGGGCGCATCATAGAGGGCAGCCCCGCGGAGGCGAGCGCGCGTCTGCTTCTCGTGTTTCACGCGTTCTTGTGTTTTTCTCGCAGGGAGCATCATAGAGGGCAGCCCCGCGGAGGCCAGCGGGCGTCTGCGCGTCGGCGACCGCATTGCAGCCGTCAACGGCGTCGACATCACGGCGACGCGTCATGGCGACGTCGTGCGCCTCGTCAAGGACTCGAGTCTCAAGGTCACGCTGAGCGTGCTGCCACCTGGCGACGACGCGAGCGTGACGGGATCCATATCGCAGCGGGTAGGTCGCGGGGAGGGGGGGAGGGGCGGGACATGGGGGTGGGGAGGGGGCGTGACATGGGGGCAGGGAGGGGGTTGGACACTGGGGGGGTGGGGAGGGGGCGGAACATGGGGGTGGAGAGGCGGCGGGACATGGGGGCGGGAGGGGGCAGGACATCGGGGTGGGAGGGGGCGGGAGGGGTGTGAGGGGGTGATGCTACCATTACCCTATGTGGCTACTACTATATAATATTACGCTATGCTACTACTGCTACTACTATTATACTGTATACTTTCCCCCTCACCCTCCCTACAGAGCTCTACTATTACTATATACTACTCTTACTCTATAGTACCGTATACTACTCTACCTGCTTCTCTCTCTCTCTC